ATATTACTTTTTAGAATTTTGACTCTGTCTCACCCACCCTATTGTGTGGTTGTGTGTTAATGCATGCAGTGCGATCGCTGAGTTTTTTCTAAATTACTCATCTTCTCAGAGTCAACCATTCTTAACTTAGCTAAATTCTTATGTTCCGACAATCTGACTTCCCCGATCTACTAGTTTGACCCATATAGTTGACTTAACCCACAGTCATTGCGAGGTATTTTGTGAATTATATTATTTTGTTTAATTAGGTCCACTGGGTCCTGCAGCCTACAGAGCTTGTCTCTGAGTGAGTTTGAAGGTTTGAATGCCATCCTAATTTCTGCTTTATTGAGAATCCTGCGTATGGAATGTCTCAGATGTCCCCTCCTCATCTGTTGAAACTGTAGATGTCGTATATTCTTTCCTATTTATGTTATCTTTATTAGTTTCACCATTGTTTTTATTTTCCTTTTGACCTTTTTGACATTCCTAATGAATTTTATAGGATAGTTACTTAACACCAAGCAGCTTTTCTTCTATCTGTTTCATCTCATGTCGAAGATTCCAAATGGAATCCTTCGGTTATAACAGTCTCATTCTCTGGGTTTAGAGTGAAATATAGGACTTCAAGGTATGATGTTTCACTAGATGTGCTGTTAATTTTGCGTGGAGGGGTTTCCAGTCTCATGTCCGACCTCGCCGCTTTCTGTGTCGTACTGTCAGCTAGTACACTGACTGAGGTATCGTAGTACATTGTTCAGAGATCGAACTCGGATCTCCTGCCTCATGATTGGAGAGAATTCGACCAGTAAACCACTGACGCAAATAGTTTTCGCTGTATAGCATAGTTATAACTAAATGTCACTAGTGACAATATTCTTGTCCTTTGTTCCGTCTACATAGTTGACATTTAATGTATATTTATGATATTTGATTAAATGGCACTAAGGGAATATTGATCAATAAGTACAAAAAACCAATCACAATTGAATATGTTTGGTGTAGGGTAGGTAAGGTTTATATTTATTATTATTATTGAATTAAACTGTGTGTTTTAATGAACTCCGCCCATTCTATACTGTAAGGAAAATAAGCGGGAAAATACAATTTCAAACATTTGGAATCTAGAAGAAAATGTGTGTGTTTGTTGGGGGGGTATGAATACTGATTATTTTGTTTTCCTGTAAATGCGAAACGAAAAATCATAGTTTCTTATTTTTTGCAAAAATCATTATTATTATTACTATGATTCATCGTTCATAACAAAAAAAATTTAGTGGGGTTTGAAAATGTAGACTACTTTAGGTTTCCGGCCTAATTACTTTTTGACTGATCTATCATTGAGGCATATCTATAGTTCTGTTATCAAGCTATCAGTTATATAATTAAATGAAGGTGCTTTTCTTTAAGAGTTTAGTGGAGAGCCTCGGGGATTTGGCAGTAGAGTGCTTGCCAGTCACGCGGGTGATCCATAGTCGGATTCCTGGCTGATGTACCCTTGTAAAGCTCGTGTAATGGATAACAAGATGGTTAAAGTGGGAAGGTCAATCGTGCGGCTAGCAGTACTGCAACGGTAGAAGACGAATGACTTGTTGAAGGAATTAGGTATCTCTGTATAGGCACTGAAATAGAGACCAAGTCGGAAATTAAATATCTTGGCGTCATTTTATCTGCTGATTTTTCCTGGTCGTCTCATATCTTGATGCTTTCTAAGAAAATATTCCGTCTTACCTTTTACATCGAGAAGTTAAAACATTCTGGTATAACCCAACCCTTACTCCTACAATTCGTTACCTCTCGCATTCTGCCTATTATACTCTATTTTTCCCCCTTAGTTTTTCCAGGGCTACTGAAGAAAGACTATAATATATTACGCAGTATGTTAAAGGTTGTCAGCAGGGTAAGCAACGTGCCACTTAACCAGCTTGTTACTATTCTGGTCGACAGGCACTTGGACTCATGTGAAAAATGGGCTAAATCCATTCTATCTAACTCATACCACCCTCTTCATTCACAACTCTTCCCTTGTATCTCATCAGGCAGAACCAGAAGCCTGTATAGGAAACTATATGCTCGCACTAGTAAGTACAAAAACTCAACCATAACCTACTTAGCTCGTGTTCTGTGTGATAAAGAAAGCATTGGGCGTGACACCTATAATTCATTAAATAGTCAGAAGTACAACTGGACCTCGTCTTTCCAACTGATTTCATTTATAGGTACAACATTTTCTTTCTTTTCCTTTTCTCTCTCTCTCTTTTTCCGTTTTCTGCTGAGTTGTTTCTTTCTCTCGCTTACGCCAGTAAAGATGACAGCATCTACTTTTCTAACACCTTCAAACACTGTTCAACTTTGACTTTGCTACCGACATGCCAATGTGTTGTTGTCATAATGAACTGAGATTTGCTTAATCTGTGTAGAATTTTATTTATTGATAATGTGCAAACTGGATGCAATACTGTAGTAAAAATGCAGAGAATTCCATTCTGTATCACAAGTACTGTTTTGGAATAAAGCAGATTATTATTATTAAAATGATGTATACCTTATCTTCAACGCACCATTTGCACAAATCTTCCGTGTTGTGCCTGCTACTTCTCTCCTTCCTTCATATTGTGTTTCTTCGTGTTGCTTTCACGTCTCCCTTGACTCTCAGAAACGCTATATCATTTGCTGGCTCTGACATCAACTCAATCTCCCTGTTATCTGATGTTTTTATGCCGATGAACATCTCTTTATATGTATATACTACTGATAAATCTTATTACAGTAGCACACGCTACTATAACACTGATACTGAAATATCACAATGCTCAGGTTCGAAGCTCATCACCCCACTCGTAACGCAATAAAAAGAAATAAAGAAAACATTTTACTGAGGTGTATTGCATACCTAATTAATAAACTTAATTAATTAAAACTGACAAATCAACTAATAAATTAATTAAATTTCCCTATTCATTCACGTAATGACTCATATTCTGTCGTGTTTTTAACATTTTTCCGAGAATAAATAGTGGTCTCTTCAAGAATTTTGATAAAAACGTTGTGTAACTTTAAATTCATATAACGGCCGATCAAGTCAATCATTGGGATACCTGATTTCTTTCATAGATAATAATGCGTCAAAATTTACGCTACTTCAATTTTTTTTAACCCTGCAATTACATCGCTGAAGAACAGTCTTCATTATCATTTCTTTGCGTTCCATGATCGACTATTAGCTTTTACTTCTTATCCATGCAATCTTCTCCATATCACCATCGAAGGGATGTCTAAACCATCACCTGCAATTTGGATTCCACTCAACAACTTAGCTGGTACATGGTGATACTTGATAGCTTTTTCAGTGTATGTTCAGTACACCTCCATTCCTTACTTCATGTTTGTTGAATAATGAACTCTTCGTTGGTTCATGGCCAGATCTATTTGTTTTTCCCTGATCTGATTTTCAGCATCGTATGAAGGTATCTGTTGATAAGAGTCGCCACCAGGCTGATGGAAATTCTTTCCATGACGTACTCAGTCTTTGAAGAAAACATATTTTTAGTTATGTATTCTGATTTCTGTATTTGTAGGAACACAAATTATTTCAGTGGGAATTTTGTTACGAAATGATGCCAATTAGCCGATCATTGGAAGAAAGCTACACTAGATTACTGATTAGTTAACGTTCATGCCTCCTCTTCAACCGTACTCACATCCATGACTTTATCACAGACTTGATCAAAGCTGAAAGGATCTCAAAGTTGTTATTATCGTCTATATTATCGAGTCACTAGTTTGAGATTCATAGACCTATTGATCCTATCCTTTATCTATTTCATAATATAACATAAACGCCAACTAGTACAAAAGATAGACACCTGCTACATATCCTGAACTGAAAACCCTACAGCATTTAGTTGAAATCATAAGTGTGTATCCCTGAAGAGCCCTATTTAGGACGAAAAAACTTTTTAATGCTCTATTGACTTTCATTATAATAAAGGTTTTTTGTATTTCCCAATGAATGAAAAACAAAACGATATTGAACCTCAACACTTGTCATTCCATATAGAGCAGAGATGTCAGACGGTATCTGAAGAGTACTCAATAAGCTCGATATCAGAGTTTGTTTTCAAAACATCAGACTCACACACTACAAAGCAACCTTGTCCATATAAAAGACCAAATACCTAAAGATTCTCTATCTTATTTTGTCTATAAAATAAAATACTTGGAATGTGATGCGATGTTCATCGGACAAACATCGCCGATGAGAAATCAAAATCAAAAGAAATGAACTCCATAGAGCATCTGTTAGGCCAACAGCTGAGAAATACTGTTGAAAAAGAAAAGCTTGAAAAATCATCAACCATAGGTCTACACGCTAAATTAATTTTACAATGCTGAAACAATTGAGAAAAATTTCAGAAATCACAATGAACGTCTAATATCATCAGAAGCACTTCATGTCATCAAATGGAATCCAAATTGTCTGAATAGGAATGATGAACTGAAACCAAATTTGACCGAAGTGCTCGGTCTCAGGTTGACATGTCTGTCGGCTTCTTGTGCAGATGCTTCGACGATGTCTGCGCATGTAATTAGAAGTTAATTGGTAGATGGTGACTAGCAGTTGAATCCAGGATGCGCATTTCACCGGTCCTATTTGGGACTCGTCGGTGGCTGGATGTACCTGCATTCTGCAGTGAGTATGGATAATGTTCCCACCGAGTCTCGAACTCAATGCCGATAGTTTCAAACGACAAAGTGTTATCCACTAGACCAATCGGACAACAAGAGAGCCACCTCTTGTGCATCTGCACAAGAAGCCGACAGATATGTCAACCTGAGACCGAGCACTTCGGTCTAATCAACCGACGGGGAAAATCTAAAATTGAATTAAATATATAACTCTATTGACTTTTCTCTTGATAATTCTCTAATTGTGATATGGTTTGGTAATTTATTTATTATTAACTTATCTAATGATGTTCTTGTATTTTATTTTCCCTTTTCTCTTTTTATATATATAGTTGAATGATAGTGAAATCTATGGTATGACCAGCTCATCTTATCGACGCAGTATAACTCATCCATATGCCACCGGCACCACAACAGCAACAACTACTGCCACAATGACAGCAAGTACAACTGATACAATTCCAACGAGTATAAATGATCCTATGGATACAAATCTGAATGATAATTCTGTTGGACTACATTGTTCCAAATTATTTTGTCGTTGGATTGACTACTGTCCATTTTTATGGAGTCAAAAATCAACAACATCGACAGTAGTTCGGCAGAAATCCTCCTCTGGTAATAACAATAATAATAATACTAATAATGAATGGATGACGATAACGACAACCTCAGCGCCAATACCAGCGACAACAGCAGCGGCTATTACAATAACCCAATCTCTGGATACTGTACATTATCAGTCGGTGTTGCAAAGGGGACAACAACAACAACACCAGGATATTGAACATCAGATAGTTGATAAGAATAACAGTAATAATCGTGATAATGGTGATCCAATAGATGAAAGAATTGAAGAATGTTATATTCCTGAGCCTGTATTTAATTTATTTTTATATTTAGCACAAAAAGGTGTTTATGCTAAAGATTTATTTCGACGACCTGGAAATATCGCTCAAATAAAAGTGAGTAGAGTATTTTAGTTGCTGTTCACTTATGTTTCTTTTGTTGTTTTTTGATGTTGTTGTATAACATGCTGAGGAATATTGAGGTTAGATGTAGAGTGGCAGGGTAAGAAGGTAAAAAGGATTGATAAGGTAGAGAAGGTGAATTGTTTGAGATAGTTGGGACATGTGCTGCGCATGCCAAGCGTGTTGGCTTCCTCGACCATCATAGGATCATTACGTCGGTGGCACAGTGGTAGGGTGCTCGCCAACCAGGCAGGTGGTCCGGGGTTCAATCCCCGGCCGACGCACACTCGATATCTATGGTCGGCTTGCAAAATTTGGGCTACCGATATCCATGCTGAAAATTCCGTACTTGTATTGAAAATACGGTGTGGCATCAAGCTGTAATCAAAAATTTAAAAAAAAAAATGATGTTGGAAAAGAGTTAGGAGTGGTCAGACGAAAATCTGTCATCAATTAATAAAGTCTTTAGCAGTAAGAAGTAGTACCAAGGAAAATCTAAGACAGAAAGTGATATATATATAAGGGAAGCCTTGAAATCTAATAATTACTCTGATAAATTAGTCAGGAAATATGTAGGGAAATGTAAAAATAAACCAAGTAATGATAGTAGTGGTAGTGATAATAATAATATCAATGACGACATACATGTCAAATGTGCGCAAGACAACACCAACAATAAGGAACCTAAATTATCAGTAGTAATTCCATGCAAGGAAGGAACCTCCGAAACCTTACGCAGAATTCTTAACAATGTAGGCAGGAATAAAAGGGGCTTTGTCAGTTAAAAGATCACTCATGTGAAGCCTTTAAAACAAAACAATTTAGTTTATCTAGTACCCTGTCTGCAATGATTGTCAGGGCAAATACATAGGTCAAACTAGTAGAACAGGGTCAGTCAGACTAGCCGAGCATAAAATCTTAGCAACATCTAGATTAGTTGACCCGAATAAAATAAGAAATCTAGAGAATAGTTCAGCTATAGCACTACACTACATGCAGTTACACACAACCATACAATAGGATGATGGGATAAGATGACAGTTTGAAAATCTCATGTCACAGGTTGGAGGGAGAGATTGGTAACAGAAGCTTCATTTACCAAATAAACTGAGAGAGAATACATGTAATAGGAATGATTCAACACCTGTCTACTCAGGTATTTGGAAAATTCTACTACCCCAATGACGACAAATAGGAAAGAAAAAAGAAAACTATAAAACTCAAATTTCGAAGTGGGGCGATTATAATTGATGATATCGTTATGAACAATTATAGATTGTGTTCGAAACCTTGTCATCCAGTAAATAATACGGTTTCACTCATTGTGTGTGATACATCTAATAAACAAACTAATATGGAATTACTTACTACCACAGTGCCCAAGTTTTTCACATATATTAAGAAGTCTTTAGCAGTTGGTTTGAGTTAACCACATCAGCTGGTGTAGACTGACTGGATGTGGTCCTTGCGGGTGGTGATCTGGCTTAAAATCGTTCCCACTGGTCAAGATGCATTCACTCTTTGGGATCTCCTATATCCGTTGAACCCTCATATTATTCCATGCTAATATTCTTTCTCATGTACATTTCCGCTTTTTATAGTTTTCTGAATCCAAGTTTTCTCTTTTTTTCCCATCTTTGTGTGCCACATAGAGTGTGGCAGGTTCAACTGCTACACTTCTGAGCGAAGTACTATGTTGGCACCTAGTCAGCAGGTCAGGTGATATCTTCCTTGTATTGACTGCTCTCTTTTTGCGTGTTTATATGCTAAGGATTTGGATAAAAAAGCCACAGCTAACCCTTTGGTGAAATGGTTCACAAATTTTTCATTCAACTTGAAAGTCCTAGATTCTATCTTCAGGAAATGGATTCGTCGGAACGTATTTCTGAAGAGTCCCAGATTAGGACGAAATAGATGTTCCGTACTCCGCGCTTTTCAATGGTTCGTTAACTGATACTGGTTACTTCGTAATCAAACTTGAAGGCAAGAATGCTGTGTTGAGAACATACTTTGATCAGCTGGCATGCTTTATTCAATTTGTATTTCCCAACTGATCACTAAACAGGGTGAGATAGGATTTAACATTTGTGGGGATTCCTTTCTACCTGTTTCTCTCTGTCTATCCCACTGTTCCACATTAAACTTAGGCTAAATTTAGATAAACTAGTAGGTAGGTGGCTAGTTTTATGACGTTAAGTGGAGTGTTAAGTACCTATCGCTCATATGATAGACACCTGTTGGGATAATCATACAGAATTATAACTATTAGCAGTGTCTTGTACTGTGGTATGAATACGGTTTTTCGCATTTTAAATCTAATCATTACATCCAGAATATTTAAGTGGGCTGACAGCTAGTGTGATGACTAGGTGTTCCGGCTGGTATACCTCAGCGACTCGACAAGCTACACTAGCTAGGACGAGTCTTTCTGCAGGTCCTATCATTTGAGAAAGACTGTTTGAATATTAGTTAGATTGAAGGCAGTCACAGTTATAATGTATGTCTGCTACGCCATGTTGAAGTTCTGAGGGCGAATAGGAGTGTTCCATCGAACAAGAAACTGAAGGTTTGGCATATATGTGTTCGTTTTAATTGGGCGTCCACAAAAAGCAACATAATCTAGTGGGTGTGGCGGATTGGTGGTTCAGGTTAGCTTAGCATTCAGTCTGTCATTTGGTCAAGATTGAATGTTTATACCATTGGCGTGTTCTGATGATACCGCTTGCTTGTGAATCAACATTACATTGATGACTTTTGTAGTTTTGTTGCAATAGACAGTGGCAATGTGTTTATCTCATAAAATAGTCTACATCAATATTCAATAGCACTGAATCGAATTTCTAAGACAGTATTTGTCTTCTCGGTGTCTGCTGAGCTCTCGTCAGTTAGAATATTTAATAAATACTGAGTTGAATTACTTTGCTTTTCAATGTAGATCTCCTTGTGAATCCCTAATAGTTTGAGAATCATTTAAGTTCAAGTAACAGTGGACACCTTTCCCATCTTAGATCCGAATACCCTGGCAATGTGAACCACCAAGGAATGAATCTAGGATCTTTAAGTCATGTGACGATCAGATTTACCATTGATTCATTGGTTTACAACCTAACAGCCCAGTATTTGTTACTTTTATCAACCTTGGATAAAGAGCTAGTCGATAGATGTACTCTGCTCGTAAATTAAAGGTTATAGGCTTGACTCCTTCAGCGAGTTTTTCGAAGTGAATACAGGAATAAGACAAAGGTGCCTATTATCACCAATGATATTCTTAGTTGTGGTGGACTGAATTATACGTAAGACTATGGGTAGGGAGTGAGATGACAGCAATACGTTAGACCGATAAGAAGACTCTATAGTTTCTGGATTTCGCGCGTGGATGATTTATGTCTCAAGTCACACACACACTTGAAGACTTTCAGGCGAAAATTAAAAAACCAGTTGTAAAAGCAACACAGAGAAGACAGGATTCCAGGTGAGCATACAGAAGACGGAGATGATGAAGGTAACCAACCAACCAACCACCAACAACAAACAGCACGAATCACTGTAAACGGGAGAGATTTAACAGAGATTAATTCTTGGCTTCACTTATCTAGGAAGCACGTTTCCAACCACAGGTATTTGGACAGCAAGGATGCAGATGTAAAAGCCAGACAGTCAGCCTTTCAGAATCGGAAGGGCAAGTTTCACCTTCGTCAGTCTGAAACAAGTTTGGAAATCGTCTGTTTCACTTAGCCAGCATGAAGAACAAGATTCGGATTTTCAAGACAAATGTAAATTCAGTCAATTCCTCTGTACGGGTCAGAAACTTGGCCAGCGTGTCACGAAGAAGATTTTCAACAGCTTGTTGCAGACTTTTATCAACAGCTGACACCTTCAGTGGTTCCATAGTGAAGATGAAATGGCCGGCCGGCTGGCCAGAATGAATTAGCAATGAGGAACTTTAGCGAGAGCCGATTGCTCAACAAATATGTGGGTGAAAATGGAGATGGATCAGGCATACTTGTAGAGGACCGTCGAATGCCATCGCGCGCAATGCAGGCTATCAATCGATTGGCATCCGATTGGGAAGTAACGAGTGGGTCGTCTTTGCGAGGTTGGCATGGAGGCGATCGTGTGAGTTGGAGGAGGAGATAAGAGATTATGGGCAATCGTGGACCCAGCTGAAGAGGATGGCAGAAGATAGAAGAAAGTGGAGATGTGTTGTTGAAGTCAGCCCTATGTGCCACTTGGAACCCAAGGGAATAATAATAATAGGTTCGACTCCTGCTGAAGTTGTGGATACATACTACCGAGAAGTCCAAAAAAGGTTTAGGTTGACAAACAACTCTTCATCGCTCTTCATTTCTACTTGTTTTCTAAGGGATTTCACTTTGAAATTTCCCCCTTTAAAGTAACAAATTAAGTTTACAGCCAATATCAAAAAATGCCTTAATTCTAGAGGAATCAGTTTCTCAATAAAGGATACTTCCGTTAAAAATGACCTTATATAACCTTTCTTCAGGACACAATACTAAGTTGGGTTGTTTTTCTCCTTCTTCTCTAAAATAGATGTATCATTTTATCAGATTACTTTAATGAAGTTTATATTTTTCGCCCACTACAAGTCTAATGACATTACGATTATTTGAAGTGATTTTCATACTGACTTATATCAAACGTGTACCTCTTATTTTCTTAAAGAAAATAAAGTAGAACAACAACAACTAGAGATTGAAAAAAGAAGTTCTTGTTTAAGTGTATGTTGGTCTGCTGGGATTTGATTATTGTCAAGTTAGAATGCGACCTGATGATTCAGTTGGTGAATCATTGGAAACCAAGGGGCAGGGCGGGGGAGGAGTAAAGAATAGGTTATTTTAAGAATTAGTCAATTCCTTACTAACCACAATACTTAAGAATTTACCAATGTTTAACAGTGACTCATTACTGGAGGAAATTTCTTGGAGTTGTAGTGAAAAGTCGTGACTCAATAAGGTATACCAAGTCGGGTATCA